CACTTTGTTCCCCTTTGTCCCCCTTTTCCCCTATTTGCCCCTCTTTGACATTCTTTGTCCCTATTTGACCATCGTTGACCTTTTTTGCCCTTCTTCGCTCCTGTTCAAGTTCCTCCATCGTCTTTGTCCTTCTTTGTCCTTTTTTGTCCTCCTTTGTCCTTCTTTGTCCCTCTTTGTCCCTCTTTGTCCCTCTTTGTCCCTCTTTGTCCCTCTTTGTCCCTCTTTGTCCCTCTTTGTCCCTCTTTGTCCCTCTTTGTCCCTCTTTGTCCCTCTTTGTCCCTCTTTGTCCCTCTTTGTCCCTCTTTGTCCCTCTTTGTCCCTCTTTCCTTGTCCCACTTTCTTTGTCCCTCTTTGCCCCCCTTTGTCCCCCTTTGTCCCCCTTTGTTGCCCTTTGTCCCTCTATATCCCTCTTTGCCCCTCTTTGCCCCTCTTTGCCCATGTCCCCCTCTGTCCCTCTTTGCCCCTCTCTGTCCCTCTTTGCCCCTCTCTGTCCGTCTTCGACCACCTTTGTCCATCTTAGACCATCTTTGACCGTTTTTGCCATTCTTCGCTTCAAGTTCCGCCATTCTCTTTGTCCTCCTTTGTCCTCCCTTGTTCTCTTTTGTCCTCCTTTGTCCTTCTTTGTCCTCGTTTGTCCTCGTTTGTCCTCCATTGTTCTTTTTTGTCCTCCTTTGTCCTCCTTTCTCCTTCTTTGTCCTCGTTTATCCTGGTTTGTCCTCCTTTGTCCTCCTTTGTCCCTCTTTGTCCCTCTTTGTCCGTCTTTGTACCCCTTTGTCCCTCTTTGTCCCTCTTCGCCCTTCTTAGTTTCTCTTTGTGCCTCTTTGGCCCTCTTCACCCCTTTTTCGTCCATTTTTGTGCTTCTTTGTGCCTCTTTGGCCCTCTTTGGCCCTCTTTGACCCTCTTTGACCCTCTTTGGCCCTCTTTGGCCATCTTTAGCCCTGTTTGTCCCTCTTTCTTTGTCCCTCTTTGTCCCTCTTTCTTTGTCCGTCTTTGACCCTCCTTGCCCATCTTCCACCCTCTTCGGTCCTCTTCGCACCTCTTTAACCTTCTTTTCCTCTCTTTGTTCTTCTTCGCCCCACTTCAAACTTCTTTGAACATTTTTGACCCTCTTCATACCTCTTTGACCCTCTTCACACTTTTTAGCCCTACTTGTAACTTCTTAGCTCCTCTTAAACCCCTTCTTTGACCTTACTTGACCTTCTTTGACCTTCTTTGTCCCTCTTTTTCCCTGGTCGCACCTCTTTGATATTCTTCGCAACTCTTCTCTTCACACCTCTGACACTCTTTGAACCTCTTTCACCCTCTTTGACTCTCTTTGTCCCTCTTTGACCTTTTTTGACCTTTCTTGACCTTTGACCTTTTTTGACCTTTTTTGACCTTTTTTGACCTTTGTTTACCTTTTTGACCTTTTTTGACGTTTTTGACCTTTTTTGATATTTTTGACCTTTTTTGATATTTTTGACCTTTTTTGACCTTTTTTACCTCTTTGACCTTTTTTGACTTTTTTGACTTTTTTGACCATTTTGACCTTTTTTGACCTTTTTTGACCTTTCTCACCTTTCTGACCTTTCTCACCTTTCTGACCTTTTTGACCTTTTTTGACCATTTTAAGCTTTTTTGACCTTTTGACCTTTTTTGACCTTTTTGACCTTTTTTGACCCTTTTTTGACCTTTTCTACCTTTTTGACCTTTTTGACTTTTTTGACCTCTTTGACCTTTTTGGACTTTTTTTAACCGTTTTTGACCTTTTTTGACCTTTTTTACCTCTTTGACCTTTTTTGACTTTTTTGACTTTTTTGACCATTTTGACCTTTTTTGACCTTTTTTGACCTTTCTCACCTTTCTGACCTTTCTCACCTTTCTGACCTTTTTGACCTTTTTTGACCCTTTTTTGACCTTTTATACCTTTTTGACCTTTTTGACTTTTTTGACCTCTTTGACCTTTTTGGACTTTTTTTAACCGTTTTTGACCTTTTTTGACCTATTTGACCTTTTTTGACCTTTTTTGACCTTTTTGACCCTCCTTGACCTTCCTTGACCATCTCTGGCCTTCTCTGGCATTGTCTCACCTTCCTTTGACCTTACTTGACCTTACTTGACCTTCTCTGAACTTCTTTGACCTTACTTGATCTTCTTTGACGTTCTTTGACCTTCTTTGATCTTCCTTGATTTTCTTTGACCTTCTTTGAACTTCCTTGACCTTCTTTGTCCCTCTTTGACCCTCTTTGTCTCTTTTTGATCTTCTGCTCACCTCTTTGACCTTGGCTGCCCCTCTTTGACCTTCTTTCTTCCTCTTTGCCCTGCTTCACCCCTCTTTGATCCTTTCGCCCCTCTTTGACCTTCATTACGCCTGTTCGACCTTCTTTGATCTTGGTTGCACCTCTTTGATCTTCTTCCCCCATCTTTCCACCTCTTTGTCCTTCTTTATTCGTCTTTGCTCCTCTTCGACCATCTTTGAACTTCTTTGTCCCTCTTAGTCCTTCTTTGTCATCCTTTCTCCTTCTTTGTCCCTCGTCGACCCTCTTTGCCCCTCTTTGCCCATCTTCATGCCTCTTTGATGTTCTTCGTGGCTCTTTGTGCCTCTTTGATCCTCTATGTCCTCCGTTGACCCTCTTTGACCCTCTTTGTGCCTCTTTGCCCCACTTCGCATCTGTTAGACAGTCTTTGCCCCTCTTCCCACCTCTTCGACTTTCTTCGACCATCTTCACCCCTCTTTGATCTTATTCTCACCTCTTTGACCTTCTTGGTCCCTCTGTGTCCCTCTTCGACCCTCTTTGACCTTCTTCGCCTCTCTTCGATGTTCCTTGATCGTCTTTTCCCCTCTTTGACCTTCTTTGACCTTCTTTGGCCTTCTTCACACTTCTTTGTCACTCTTCACCCTTCTTTGATATTCTTTATGCCTTTGTCTTCTTTGATCCTTCATATCCTTTGGCCCTCTTTGGCCCTCTTTGACCCTCTTTGTGCCTTTCTTTCCCTCTTTGCCCCTTCTATTCCCCTCTTCGCACCTCTTTGTCCCTCTTCAACTCCCTTAGACGTTCTTCAACCATCTTCGCCCCTCTTTGACCTTTTTTACCCCTTTTCGATCATTTTTGCCCCTCTTCAATCATTTTTGCCCCTCTTTGATCTTTTTTGCCCCTCTTCGATCTTCTTCACACTTCCTCAACATTCTTTGCTTCTATTCGACATTCCTCGAGTTTTTGTCCCTCTTTGACGTTCTTCGTCTCTCATTGTCCTTCTTTGTCCCTCTTTGTCCCTCTTTGTCCGTCTTTGTCCCTCTGTGTCTCTCTTTGTATCTCTTTGCCCCTCTTCAAACCTCTTTGTCCCTCTTCACCTCTCCTAGACCTTCTTTGCCCTCTTAACTCTACTTTGCTCCTCTTAGGTCTTCTTCACACCTCTATGACCTTCTTTGTTCCTCTTTGCCCCTCTTCATCCTTCTCCACTCCGCTTTGACCTTCTTTGCCATTCTTAACCATCTTCACCTCTCTTTGTCCCTCTTTGCCTCTCTTTTCCCCTCCTTGTCCCTCTTTGCTCCTCTTTGATCCTCTTCAACCTTCTTTGAACCTCTTGGACCTTCCTCACCTCTCTTTGACCTTCTTCCCCTCTGATCTTCTTTACCCTTCTTCATCCATCTTTGAACTTCTACACTCCTCTTTGCCCCCATTCGCCCTTCTTCGCACCTCTTCATCCCTCTTTGTCCCTCTTCAAACCTCTTCACCCTCTTGCTCCTTTTTTGTCCCTTTTTGTGCTTCTTGGTGCCTCTTTGTGCATTGTTTTGCCTCTTTGTTCCTCTTTGTCCCTCTTTGCCCTTTTTCGTCCCTTTCTGTGCTTTTTTGTGCCTGTTTGTGCCTCTTTGTGCTTCTTTGCCCCTCTTCGTCCGTCTCTCACCCTCTTTGCTGATCTTCCAGCCTGTTCGACCCTCTTCGATTCTCTTCGTACTTCTTTAACCTTCTTCTCCCCTCTTCAATTTTCTATTCCCCTCTTTGATATTCTTTGCACCTCTTCATACCTCTTTGACCCTCTTTCACCCTATTTGAACCTCTTTCAGCCTCTTTGAACCTCT